TGATCGAAAACGGCGCATTGTGCTAGACGGAAAGGTAGGAAAAGTTATCAGTTTCTCGAAAATGCACTGTAGTTGCTAGACAAAACACAGGCGCTGATAAGGGACAAGCCGTGGCTTTTCCAACCATGCGACTTTTTCGTCTGGGACTTATTTTTTCTTCGTTTCTTGTACTGATCGAGGGAAGAACTTTCTCGATAGACTACGCGAATAATCGGTTCTTGAAAGATGGCCAGCCTTTCAGGTACGGTTCTCTGCCAGGAACTTTTTGTTAAAGTCAACTCCCACCCTGCGTTAAACTTTAAAAATTTACAGATCAAATAAAGCTGCTGTGATAGCGGAACCGAATAGAAGTTTTCGAAAGACGGCACTAAACTTTTTTTTTCAATATCATTTTCTTCAGGCTTGAGGATATGTAAATAAAAGTCTCCAGGATATGTAAATAAAATCTTATTGAGAAAGTTTCTGAAGTATCATCCATTGCAGACGGGTCTCTAACTCTTTTTCATGTCTTACCAGGGAAGACTATTCGATACCTAACAAAAGTTATCTGCTAAGCTCAAAACTGTGCAGAAAATGCTTTTTTTTTCGATTTTTTTTGTGGGAAAGTTTTTTTTATTTGGGTGTTTATAATAAACAGGGCAGTCAGACTTTCTAAAATTCTGAAGCCAGTTTTCTACGCATTTCCAACTGGCCTTCTCTCGATATCTCAGTAGATTTTTTGAATATTTTTTCTTGGAAATACCACATAAGTTGGAACTTGATCTGCTATGTACATCTGTATACTATTTGCACGGTCAAAAATAGTCTCCCGCGGATTTTTCCCTTTAGATACATTGCGGGATCCGTCCATTACTTTCGCACGCATCCTGCCCAATGGAACGACCGGCTGACGGCCGTTCGAGCCGCCGGCCTCAACGCCATCACCACCTACATCCCGTGGAACTTCCACGAAACTTTCGAAAAACAGTTATTTCGGACCTTCTTATTCTGCACACCGTTCATTTTTAATTAAGATACAATTTCTCCGGTTGGCGAGATATCGGAAAGTTCTTCGAGCTCGCCGCTGCGAATGAGCTGGCAGTGATTCTGAGGCCAGGACCTTACATCTGCGCCGAATGGGAAAACGGGGGACTGCCATATTGGCTGTTGAAAACGCCCAACATCGGGCTCCGAAGCTCGCAGCCTGAGTAGGTCTTCTCGATTTTTCAAAGCATCTAATTAGGAAGAAAAAATAATAGAAAAAAAATGAACTTTCTTAGCTTTCTGAACGCCGCACTCGGTTGGTGGGACGTCTTATTGCCAAAGGTCGAGCCCTACCTTTGGAAAAACGGTGGTCCTGTAATCATGGTTCAGGTATTGATTTTTTTTTTCTCGCTGAGGATTGCGCAGGATTGTCTTTTCAGGTGGAGAACGAGTACGGGAGCTTCGGATGCGATGCGGCCTACCGCGACGCCTTGCGAGATAAGGCCATCCAGAAACTCGGAGCCGACACCGTTCTTTTCACTAGTCAGTTCCACAAGACAATGCGAATTTCAGACTAACTGGATCTTGTCCAAACTTTTCGTTAAGGAAGTCTAGGGGAGGGTTTTGAAAAAGTATTTGTTAGAAAAGCTCGAATGCTGCTTTCCTCAGTATCAGGAAAATATAATAGTTTTTATCATGATTGTTTGTGAATATTTTTGGATTGTTTGAAACTTAAAGATCGATGAAAATTATTGTTTGAATATTTTCTGCCCTTTTTCGGCAAATTTTGTCGGTTCCTTCCGAAACATGAACTTTTCGAGTACTCCTACGGCTACCAATCACAAAATTTTGAGCCAGATTTGGAACTATTAGGTTGGCATGAAAGAAATGCGGCTCTTTTTTGCCGGCTTCTGATTCATTCAAGAAGCAATATTATTTGAAACGATATTTTTTGTCGAAAAGGGCTTGTCCTTGTGCGTCATTGGATATATAGTTTGCTGACGTTCATTCCGCCTTTCTATAAGAAAAATAGCTCTAAAAACTTCCTTTCAAAAACTGTATTCGCGGACCTAGTTTTCGCGTTATTTCAAAAAGTACAAATCAAATTCAGAAGTTTGGCACCTTTCAATATTATGATCACCATTGATGCTTTTTTCAGATAGTTAACATTTTGAATCGCTTTAGCGCTATTCACTAGGCGAAAAAACCTTTGAAATCAAAAAACACGAAAAAATCGACGATGAAGGCGAATTTAAAATGCCATTAGATTGGATTCACAACACGCGCCTTTGAAACTGGCTTATCAGTTATTATACACCCATATCTGCAAAAGAAAACAGTTTTTTTACGCAACGTAGTGCAAAAAATGAGAAATGAAAAATGGCTTCAAAATATCGCTTTTTCGTTTTTTTTGCGAAAATGTGTTAGCCCAAAATCAGAAAAAACTTTCTGCAAATTTCTGCTTTTCCCGCTACAATGCTCAGACATGGCTCTTCGCATTTATCATCTGTCCGAATCATTGGATCGCTTAACAGCCAGAAAAAAAAATTGAAAAACTCCGATGAAGTCCAAATTTGGGGGTGCAACTTCGTTGACTCGTAGGCGGCCCAGTTTGTCAGAGAGAATAACCATTCTCTGCGTGAGCATTGTTGACGAGGTGCTAATACAAATAGGAATTACATTTCGAATTAATTTGGGATAACCTTGTTTTTATGATAAAAATAAATGGCATCAAAAACACGCATTTCTTTCCTGCCACCCTAAGTTCGAACTTGTAACCTCTCGTGAGGCTGTTTCAGTGAGAAGCATAAAGTTTTTCAAGATTTATTTTTGCGAAAGTTTTTTTTGATCTAAACTCTTGTTACAATTGATTCCTGCGAAGATTTTCTTTTTTTTTTACTGAATTTGAACTTTTCAAAGTTTGCTTCTAACGAGAAATCAGGCCTTCACTTGATATTTCGTAAGCTGGAAATTCCATATCTTCAAAACTGAAAGGTGAAGTTTCCTCATATTCAGGTTCTGGCTATAAGGAAACTTGAACTAGACCTCCAGAGTTATTGGACTAATTCAAACACAATTTCATTCTTCTCATTGGAATGATTACTAGTTACAGATTTCCGCAGATGATTCAAAAAAGCTCAGAATCTATTTTTGATTCATCCGAATTTTTTTTTAAACATTTTTTGAAACCACAAATTTTTCAAACTATATTTTCAGCCGATCCACCAGAATTCATAAAATGCGGCGCGATTGACGGCGTCTACGCGACTGTAGACTTCGGTCAACGCGGACTTCTACTAATGGACGAGTATTTTTCGATTCAGCGAAAACACAACCCTCAAGGTTTTCAGTCTACCTGTTCCAATACAAAATTTTTGAAAATTTCGCAATCTTTTCTAGGAAGGATAAGGCTTCTTTAAGAAAATCAAAAAAAAAAAGCGGAAGAATAAGTTGAAAAGGAGGAAAGTTTTTCAGAAAAAAATTTATGATGAAAAAAATTTTTTTCAATTAATTTTTTTGTTCTAAAAAGGCTGAACACTGAAGGCAAAAAAACATCAGATAAATGGAGTTTTATGGTTTTAGCAATGACGACGGTATATAGGCAGAATTTGAAAAAAGAAAAAATTGTTGAGTTATAATGTTTGAGAGAAAATGGATGTTCAGGAGGACCGCGTGTCAATTCGGAGTATTACCCAGGATGGTACTCGACTTGGGGAGGAGCAGCTCTGCCAAATCAGCAGTCTTCGCCCGAATCTGGTGGCTACTTTTGTGGAATTTGGAACTCGACTTTGATTTTTTAGTTTTATAGAGCGTCGAACATTATCTTTCGAATTTCATTTTGAACAAAATTTTCAGTCCTCGAAATGACTGAGAAGATGTTTGCGCGCAACGCTTCATTCAACTATTACATGTTCCACGGCGGCACAAATTTTGAGTTTTGGAACGGCGCGGAGTACGACGCTGGGGTTAGTTTCCAGAATTTCTGTGGAGTTTGGGTTTTCGAGACCCATTATTCGTTTCATTCAATTCTTTGTACCGTCAGCGATGAGGACTACGTAGCCGTGGTCCCCCCCTCCCTACCAAAATTTCTTAAGCCCCTTGATTGGGTCTCGCCGGGGGTTGAACTTGTGACCCTTCGAACTGTAGACACGCACACCACCTGGAGCGCTACGACGCGCCGCATTGAAACATATTGAAACAGTTTAATTTTTTATTTCCATTGGTTATCCATCTTTCAAAAGAAACTATTGCGAACATTTTTTTTCTGAGTTTTACAGTTTGAAAAAAACTTCTCCGAAGTCAATTTTTGTCGGCTTCAAAAGTCTTAACTATGGCATCAACTGAGGAAATCGAAGCCATTTTTTGAGAATATAATAATATTCGAATAATTAACACTGTGAGAAAAAAAACCACGTTCCGAAAAAAAAATTCATGAAATTTCTGTTCCAGTTGGTCACCTCTTATGACTATTCTGCGCCTTTGACAGAGGCCGGCGCTGCCAACGAAAAATACAAAAAAGTGGCCGATTTCATTTCGAAGATCCCAGGCTGGCCGAATCCGCCGTCCCCGACTCCCAGGCCATCTCCGTGAGTTTCTTTTTGAATATAAATTATTCAGCTTGTCAAAAAGATAAAAAATGTTTGTTCTAAGAGGAAAGAAGAGTTCCAGATCTTTTGCGATGCCTTCAATAAGCCTCAAACGGATGGGAAACATAAACGAATACCTGAAAAATGGCATGCTTTTCACAGCTTCTCGAGTCCAAACCTCCAATCAACCGACGAACTTTGAAAACGTGAGGTTCTTGGCTGCAACCGACCTCAGTCCGCAGACTTTGAGCTGGACCAGCCTTTCGGATTCGTCATGTACGAGACGACGGTGACGGCCGCCCAGGTGGCGTCGATCAGCGGCAACTTTTTCAACGGTTCGATGGTCCGAGACTTCGGATATGTCTACATTAATGAGACCTACAAGGTTGGACATCCATTTTTCCAGTAATTCTCAGTGCGAATTTTGAAATTTTTGTGAGAACTCATTCAATTAGGACTGTATATCACAGTATGAGTTTGCGCAAAATTCTAGATTTGAAATAAGAATTTCAAAATTTTATATTTTTGTCGCGAAAATGTTTATTAAGTTTCAGGTTCAAAGCTGAATGACTACCTTTTGATTTGAATTTATTGTTTTCAAACCATTTTCTTCGAGAAAGGTTTTTTTCAGTTCACACTTTCGACGCATTTCAAGCCGAACACAGTGACGAGTGGCCGGCTTACCGTATCTGCCGGTGACGTCATCAGGATTCTTGTTGAGAGCCAGGGCCGCCTCACTTGGGAAACCATCAAAGACTTCAAAGTGAGGAAATTTGAAAATGTTCACTAGCGAATCGTTTTTAGCTTCTTAACGGATCCTTTTTAGCTTTATAACGCAGCAAAAAATAAATCGTATCATCTTTTTAGGAACATCAACTTTTTTTGGACTTTTTCCATAGATTATCCGATTCACCAAAATTTGAAAAGGTGTTCCAATCGAAATAAAAAGATGTTATTGCGTCAGAACCAATTAGTGATATCACTAAAGAAACGATAAGACCTCTCTAATGATCCCTTTGAGGGAATAATCGGAACGCCGACGCTTGGAGGAGTTCCACTGCTCAACTGGAAGCAGACGCCGATCGACATCGAAAAAATAAGTGAAGGTCGAGCTCCTCCACCGGTTTGGCATTCGTTTTGCGCGTCGCAATGGAGCTATTTGAGTCGTTGACCGGCTTCCGGCCGGCGGACGTCTTCTACGGCGAAGTGGCGCTGGGGACACGCATCGCCGACACCTACATCGACATGTCCAGTTGGGGCAAAGGCGTCGTCTTCATCAACGGCTTCAACATTGGCAGATATTGGTCTACGCATGGACCTCAGGTTGATAACTCTTTGATGAAATGATCGTTTTTTTTTAATTTTTCCTCCTTTTTTCATTATTTTTTCGACGTTTTAAACTTTCTAAAACACTTTCGGGAGGTCTAAATTAAGATCCTTCATAGCCTAATCTGCGGTTTTTTTTTGAGATTGGAGTCAGATTTTGCGTTTAAAAAGAATCAGACCAAAAACTCAAATTTCATGTTTGAGAAGTTGAAGTAGCGACTAAAAGAAGTCTCAAACTCTCACTTTCAAAAGATGTATGAGCGAATTTTTAGAAAACTCTATTCTTCATATAAAAATGGCCATTCTTTTGAGTTCTTGATGAACTTCAGAAGCGTAGACCAAAAAATTCAACTTTCAGAAAGCTCTTTACGTGCCGCTGCCCCTCCTGAAGCCGTCGGACTCTAACACGATCGCCGTCTTCGAACTCGAGAAACTCTCATCCGATTGCCTCGCCACAGGCACTTATTGCACCATAAACCTTATAAATCATCCAATCCTTTGAGAAGTTCAATAAATTTTGTATTTTTAAAACTTGACAAGAAACTGTACGAAAGTATAGTAATAGCACAAGAAGATAGTCATGGCCATAAGGAAAATGAAATCATGGTCATTCTGGAGAAGTTGGAGAAAGATAAAACGGTCAGGGAAATTAAGGATAAAACACAAAAGTTTGCGAAAAGGAACATGGATTATGCTCAATAGAAAAGTACATTTCAAACAAACGGAAGTTGAATTTCTCACAGTAGAGGAACCAGGAAAGAGAATATGGCTAAAACCGAAAAACGAGATGGCACATGATAGCGATAAGGAGAGAAAGAGAGACCAATCGACTATATATTGACACAACAACAGATGGCCGAAAAATGGAAGAAACAAAGGAATTAGTGCAAGTGAGAAGGTAGTTACCCCAATTTGACCACTATTCGAGCTTGAAAAACTCGCAAAAAAAAAATCAAAAGGAACGTGACTGTCCTAAAAATATCGACAAAAAGGATACATAAAAGTTCAACCAAAGAAATCCAGCTTTTTGGCGAGTAAGAAAAATGAGCTCGGAAAAGTCTATTTCTGGTCACTTCCTCATAAGAAAAAGTTCATAAATTATAATCCAAAAATACTGAAATCAAAATATTCGAAAACTTTATCAGAAGTCGAATTTGGAAGCTGAGCTTTCTAAACTCATTTTTGGAGGATTTTTTGTTGAGTCAAAAGCTGTATTTTTTAAGTTGAACTTTCATGGATATCACTTGGGTTCAACGGAAAGATTTGGCGGAATGGGCCGATCCCTGGGATGACGCCGAGCAACTCGTCGGCGGCGGCGTCAGAAGAGCGGCCGCTTCGACCGCGCAAGGCGACCGGGGGGCACTCGATGGATACGTCTGCAAGATATCCATCCTCATTGAAGACTTCAAAAATCAATCAAAGAAAAATGTTAATTTCCTCGTACACAAGAGCTAAACAGGGGAATAGAGAAAAAAAACGACTAAATAGGATCTCAAAAACGTTAAATAGAAAGTTTGACATAGAAAATTTCACTCGGGATTCTCAAATTCTCGAATTTTTCAAAAATTAGACAAAAACCTCTCTATGAACAGCATCGACAACCTTTCCTAGCCGAAATTTCTCATTTTGTGAAAAAAACTTCTCCATCCATCACAAGAAAATGGTAATCTGAAGGTTCATTTTTTTTTTAAGTGAAGCTGGTTCTTATTTGGTTCACAAAGTTTTTCTCGTGATTTTTTAAATCCTGAAGTTTCGAGTGAAATGAAGCTTCTTGTATGACAAGAGATTAGACCTTTTTTGCAAAGTTAAGGCTTTTTGAGATCGAAAATAGTGCACAACTTAATGAATAAAGTCAACATTGGACTTTTCGTTCAGAATGCACTTTGCACACTTTTTACTCAAGTTTTTTACCCTAAAGCTCGCCAGAGCAAGAAAAATTGTTCCCATGATGATTCATAATGACTTTTTCGAACCTTTTTTTATATCGAAAGAGATTATATTTACATTCGTTTATCGGTACTTTGAGATAAATTTTTATTATAACTTCAACTAGATCGTGGAAATCACATTTGATCTATGAAAATTCATCCTTGTCACCGGAAAAAGCGCCTTAATCTATGAAATATTCGCAGCAATAGAACCACGGTTCAACGGGAACACATGTAGTTGAATTTCTGGATGTTGCAGAACTTTTTGCCGCGTTCAAAACGATTTCCGCGGAACTCAAAACTATCTCTGACTCTCTATAATAATGTTATCTATCTCACCCTCTAGAGGCTAAATCGAGTATCGCGAAATCCCTTTGAACACGGCATTAGTTTTCAAAATTCAACAAAGATGAGACAAATGTTTCCTTGAGTAAAGCTAGGCTTTTCAACTTTTCCTATCCACTTACGCCGATTCCACTGCTCCTGAGTCCCAAATGGCGTTCATAATCGCTGAGTTGCCCCATGAAATGGAAGTTTGGGGCGATGCTGGCGTTTCTGTGTTGGACCATGTCGTAGGCGTCTTCCAAAGTGTAGCTGAACGAATTTATTGGCTGATTCTACGCGAATGGGAAACCTGTTGGTGCTCATTATGTAGGCGAGGCAAATCGTGACGCTGCGGGAGATGCCGGCCAGGCAATGGACGAGACACGCCGCTTCGGATTCCTTGGCCGCCTCGATGAACGCGTTGGCTTCTGGAAGAGGAACGAAAATGAACTAAGCCGGTGTTTCGTCTTTTGAAGCTTATCGTGGCTTTTTCGAGGCATGAAAATATTCTTATTTTTTTCTCCTTAATACTAAAAAACCGAAACCAAGAAATTTTGATCAATCGGAATCTCTCAAAAATTTTTGGACCTTTAATCTCTCAAAAAAATTATCTCTCAAAAAAATTTTTTTGGACTCTTAAAAAAACTAATTCATAAAGAAAAGTTCTAACTTAACACTGAAATGATCATCTTGATAGTACTAAAAGGCTTGCAAATTAAAAAAAAGAAGAAAAAGCAAAGCCTCCAAATGTGGATTATCCTTGAGCACTTCAAAAGTCGGTGTTCCATCAAGTTTTTTTTCTGGTTTTAAATTTCAAATTTTCAAAATATTCAGCCAGGCGCACAGTATATGGCACGGATTAACACTATTTAATCGGTAGCTTAATGAAAATGGGCCGAAAATTCAACGTAACTTCTAGTGAAACTTATGATTTCTTGACAAAACTTTCAAGCAGATTATAACTATTTTTCGCGAGAAAACTTCACTGAGATTGACAGAACCAGGGCGCAAAGTTGAAATTAAGTAAAAAAAAAGTAGAAACTGGGTGAAAAAGAATTGAGAAAAAGGGATGTTTTCGACAATTTGACCGCTCCCCGGTACCCTGCTCATCACAAGCTTTTGAGTTTAAACGGACCGGCGAAATATTTGGTGAGATTATGAGCGCTGCTGTCGTCTACGGGGATGCGGAGATAGTGGAATCGGGGGTCGTCCTCGAACTCGTTGGGCAGGTTGGTCGTCACGTTGATGATGAAGGTGATGGAATGTCTGTAGTTTGACCTCAGATCAGCGTGGGGGAGGGTCCACGAACTTGTCGAGGAGCTCGCGATTGCAGGCCGTCTCAGCGTTGCCCAGGTAAAGGTAGGGCAGAATCTCGACAGGAAACTCCGCGCGAGGTTTGTCCGCGTTTCGAGGGTCCGACTGAAGGCGCAGGTTTCTAAAAAACGTCTTTTTTGAAGAAAATACCTCGAAAACATAATGAAAAAAACTAAATTTATGAAAATTAAATGTAATTTGCAAAAAATTTTAATTTCGAATGTTTTCGTGTACTTTTTTATAAACAAAGTCGCAAAAAAGGATACTAACAAAACAAAAAAAAGGCAAATCAAACAGAAATTTTATTTAGAAAAATAAACTCCTTAACCGCCCAAAATTTCCTTATTGTCATCAGGAAAACACAAACGCAAAGATACTTTCAAACTGAGAAAAAAGAAAGAAAGCGAACCCCAAATCGAGGAACCCGAGCGGCGGACCTCCGCGATCGCTCGTCGCCTTCGCCGACGTCTTCTGATCAGAAGACGTCGAGGCGTTGTTTTCTTGTCCTTTTGAGTCCCTCAACTGCGGGAACTTTGCGAGGACATTTTCCATTCTTTCTAAAAATAGAAATATTCAGCAGACACATTTTTATGGGTTTCTTGGCGAATAAAAAAAGACATCAAAGCTCAAAAAAATCTGATTATAAAGTATTGGAAAAAAATATATCTGTAAAAACTCGTTGAAATTTAGACATTTACAGAAAAAAATTTTTAATATTCAATTGCTCCGGCTAACAAAAAAAATGAGAACTGGCGACTTGATCGTTTTTTAATAAAATTAATAGAAAAAAACAGAAAAGGAGAGGTGGATGTTTACTTTCTGCTGAACATTCTAAAAAATTGCCTGTTTCGAATGAGGGTTGATTCATAACAACACAAAAGGAATCAAGAAAAACTCTAACAACCTACAAGATAAAAGTAGTCCAAGTTTAAAACAAAAATAAAATACCGGCAAGGACGTGAAAATCGAACTCTTCACGGCGCAAAGAGTTGATCAGAGCACTGGAGGCAGAGGCGTCGGTCGAATTTTCTCCCGGAATCACGACAACCTTCACTCCAGCCGGGTCCTTAACATTCAAAACTTGAAAAACATGTTTTTGTATAGAGAAAATTTTTATTTAGTCGAACACGTATGTTTCAAAAATTTTTTTCTTATGTTATAGGTGAGGTTAGATAAGACCAATAAGACCAAACATCTTTACAAAAACAATACAAATCAAGCGACCCGTTTCTGGGCAAAAAATCTGTTAAGAATAGGAATTAGTTCACTAAACCAAAAAATAAATGAAAATAAAAATTTATGTTCGAAGAAACCAATAGAGAATTAATTAGTTTATGATTTCGATAAAATAAAAAAACTTGAGAAGACAGTAAAAGGCTATAAAAAAATGGCTAAAACACTTTTTGAATGTTTTTTCAAACTTCATTAATATAACAGAAAACCAGGAGTTGTACTTGGAATAATTTTTTTCTGATTTATATCAAGACAAAAAATTCTTTTTCACTACCTGCAGTTTCGGAGAAACATTGGTCAGTTGGAGGGATTCAGATAATAAACGGCGCAAAAGAACATTCGGAAGTTGAACACTGAAAACTACCAAGATTATTTCATAGAAGAAGAAAAAAAAATACCGTATTGCTCTTTTTATCGTAGCGCCGTTGGTACGACAGTCGAGAATGCAAATTTCATCGTCAGAATATTTACATAGAAACCTAAAAAAAACTGAATGAGAAAACAGTTCCACCCTTTTCGAAGATTAAAAAAAAATGGAGAGGAAAGCGCTCTTTTTTTGTCATAATTAATTTAAAACCTTGATTTCTAGAAAAAAAAAGAAAGAAAAAAGACTGCTGAAAAACTATCAAGATTGTTCAGAGTGCAACAAAAAACTTCTAGAGCCCTAAAAAAAAGTCAAAAAAACGTAAATGCCGTTTCCTGTTAGATCTTTGAAGATCGCAATAAATCTCTCATTCAATCATTAAAAAGGCATCTATATCACAATTCAAAGAGAAAAGAGAAGAAAAGGGGGAAAAAAATACCTGTTCAATTGTTCTCCTGTTAAACTCTCGTTCATTTTCGAGGTACTCGGAGGCGAATTTTGCATCTAAACAGTTCAAATACAAAAAGTAAACATTTCGGAAAGAATGACGCGAAAAAACTGCTCAGAATTCAGTTCAAAACATATTGATCCCCGCAACATACTTAATTTTTCCATGCGAAAGAAGCTTGAAACGGACCAATGTTCAAAAATAAAGGAAAACAGTGGAATTCTCGCGTGAGGCATAACCAAGTGCGCCCTAGCGGCCTTATTTTTTCTATCAATTTTTCTCTTGTTCCTTTTTTAAACCTCATTTCAATTATTGTAGATGGAAAATTTCACTATAAAACTTAAATTCAATAGGAAAATTCACTTCTCTTAACGAAAAATTATATATTAGATAAAGGTCCTGAAAGTCGTAACCTGCCCTTCTTAAGTTAACAAAAAAAGGTGACTTCATATTTACAACATTTTCAAAAGATATTCAAGTAAGCGACGTTCCAATCTTTTATTCTCGAGGAAAAATTGTAAATTTTTAACTATCAAAAAAGTGATAGCTGATGTTCAGAGAACTTTCCGACTCGAATTGCTCAAAATATTTACTTGAAAAGGGAAGAAGAGCTGGATAACTACTGTGAAGAAATAATGATAGGTATTATCTTCCGTTAGTCAAAAAGAAAGTTATTTTGCTTTTTTTTTTGCAATGGAAAAGCGTTCTGCGATTTTTTTTTTCCTTTCTTTCAATCCGAATTCTCTTTATTAGAAGGCGAGCACGAGGAAAAGTGTGAATGAGTCAAAAAAGACACGGCAAGACGGGAATTAGACGAAAAAAAAAAGTCGAGAGAGGGAACACGTAGAAACCGTGTTCTCGTTCAGTTTACTAGGAAAAACTTCCGAGAATCGTATGACTACAACAGCTGAAAAGCGTCAAGGAAATTTGAAAATTCCTCGAAAAGGTTTTTCGTTGGTGTATCAACTTTACAGATTTTATTTCATGATTTGGGTACAATTGAGATCACAAAATTAATTTCATGAGTTTGCGAGTTTCACAAGTAAGATTGATATTCTCATAGATACATTATGGCTATTAAAGCTTCCAAAATTCGGAACCTATGTGAAAAAAATGAGAAAAAACATATGATGGTTTCCTATTGGGTATTTATTAGAGGAGTTCACTGAAGTTTGAAACGTTCAAACTTTGAAATGAAAATTTAGATATTCTTACTCTTTTGTTTCCAGTAAAAACCAAATCAGAGAAACACATGGAGTTTTCATCGGGCAGAACACAATCGTCTAAAATGAAACAAACTTGTTCCGAAACAAAAAAAAAAATGTACCGTTTCGGAGCAGCTACGGGCCGCCATTGGACACTCTTTGCGTTTTGCATCTCTTTCTCCAATGAAAACGGCATCAAAAAAAGTTTGAAAAAATTGAAATGAGTGAAAGAGAACATTTCTTTACATTTTCGACTTCCAAAGTGCTTTTTGTTATAGCTATTTCAGAACCTAACACCTGGAATAATCAGGGATGAAATAACTGGGAAAAGGGAAGATCTCACAGCTGAGGGGCATGTGGACGGGAAACAGAAGCTGAAAGGGACAATTCATTCGATGAGAAAGTTGGCGCGTAGAAACGAGCGCCTACACGTCTGTGCATGGCGTATATGGGAAAAGCCCCTTGAATGAAGCAAGGAGTGACTCGTAGAGCAGAGGAAAATCGAATGAAAGTGAGGAATTGGGAATGCGAGAGAGCACGGCGAGTCGTGACAAACGCGTGGGTGGCCGTTTCGGGGTTTCTTTCCTCTCCTTCTGCATCTTGCTTTAATAAATTTACTCGGCGCCCAACGACGGCTTCTTCAAGACGTTCTGAGCACTTCGTCGAGGGCCGCGGCCTTTTGAGGGCGAACGAAACGAGGAGTTTCCATTCAAAAGCGCAAAATCCTTTCATCGGCTTCGAAGCCTTTTTTTGAACTTTTTTTCCTATCACATGATCTTGTTCCTTAAATTTGACGCGTCATTAGAGCTTATATTTCGTAAATACCAAAATTTAACTAGATAAAAAATTTATTTTTTTCAAGTGCAGTGAAATCAAATACTGAGAGCTTTTTCGCAAAATAACCTGTTTTTCATCAGAGCCGGGACGCTTTCGAGCATTTTTTTAGAAATAAGTCAAGAAAAAGTGATAACTAGAAAATGCTCAAAAAGAAAAAAATTCGAAGCGCTTCCGATTTGAGTCGCCGAGATACTGTAAATCGTTAGTTTCACAGACCTCTGAATAGAAAAAAAGACGAAAATAATTTATTTTTTTCTTTATTAACTATTAAAATTAAGCTATAGTTTTTATAAACTCCAAAAAAACTCTCCATGAAATAGAATTCATAAAATTTTTCAGAACACGTGAAAAAAACTAAAAAAAGATAATAAAAGATCAGAGAAAAAGAGGTTTTTTATTTTTGGAGAAAATTTCTTGATTTCAAAAATTTCATTTCATAATGTTTCTAAACCAGATCCTGTCTAAAAAAAAAAAAAAAAAAAGAAAGAAATTATAAGCAAATTGACTCGAGTTGCGTTGGAATGATTTATAACAAAAACATAATAAGAGTTTCAAACAAGAATAAATGCCTTGCCAAGCGACATGCGAATTTTAGTGGTGAATAAAAAAGATTTAAAAAAACACAAAATGAATAAGAAAAATGATATTTTGTTTTTTTTTTTGAACAAAAATGGAGGGGACTTTCGTAAAAAGAAATTGGGTCTCAAAACGCTGAGTCAAAATTTCAAGGCGCAGGTGTTTGCAGTCCGCGCTCATTTTTTTCAATTTTTTTCAACTCATTTTGTGTTTTTCAAGTCGTCCGCTCATAGGGAAAATGATAGACGACTTTGAATACAAAAAGTTCCACCTGAAGGAATATGTTTGAAAAATGTGTTGCAATTTCGGCGCGACAGTTTTTTTGCGTTTTGAAACACGCTCCATTTTTAGTGTTTTTAAAGACTGGGATTATTGAATTATTTGGCGAAATTCAATGAATTTAGGGAGAAAGGTGAAGTCCTTATGCCGTTGATCAGGTGAGCAGCCAGTGCAAGAATTAATGTTGCGAGGGCGAGTCAGACTGCCGAACAGTTGTCGACGTGAACGCGTTGCACTTGCCCCTCAACTGGACTTCCTTGGACATTTTTTTCGGTTCCGAACGAAACAAAGTTCACAAAACCAAAGTTTTTTCAAAGCTTCCGAAAAGTATGCCTTTTTGTTGATTTTAAAACACTGGTTTTAGCTCGGCTTTCTGTCAGTTTAGTGTTATCCGCGCGACACGATCAATTCATCAAAAAAAAATCATTTGTTCAGATTTTGAATTACTACGCCTCAAACAACGCTTCGTGGATGGCTAACTGATTTGATCTACGCATAAGTGGCCGAATATGAGAGATGACTTGACATTCAAAATCTAAACAGACTATAAATAGACAGTTTTGTATAACACACAGCATTTTTTGCTTTCGCCTAAAAAAATTAGAATGTTATATAACGATACAATTTTTTCCGAACTTTCTTAAGTCTTTCAGGGCTCAAGTTTGCGCCTAATCCAGATGTTTAAATAAATAAAATTTATTCGCGACAAACACAGAATATTTGATCGTTTAATTGTTCAAATTGGGAACGGATTTTTAATTAGGCTATTTTGAAACAAACAAGCTTTACTTGGAAAATGGATTTCATACTAATTTTGGAAGTGAAAGAGAAAAAAATTGAATTGAAATTATTGTCAGAATCGACTGAAAAATGGGATATCAATGCACAAGAAAAAAGATGCAAGAAAATCACACAGTTTCATAAATAATAAATGGAGATCGTAGAAAAAAGAGATCGACTGTACATTTGACTAGAAGATTCAGCGGGAATGGGCAAAAAAGAGCAATAATTAAATGTCACGTGGTCGGCTCTCTTCAAATGGAAAAAAAATCAACAAAAAATAAAACAAACGTGTAAGGCGATAACGTTGGGTATTGAAAATAGAGAGGAACACTGAATAAGTGAGAAAAGAAGGCCATGAGACGTCATTGAGAAGAAAAAAAAATGTGAAAAACGAGTACATGTAAAAAAAAAGGCAACGAAAAACTATTTCTCTTAGAACGATTTGAAACGTCTCTCTATCGATTCTTTATTCAAAAAAAAAATCTCGTACCATTTCTCAGAAACTGTTCGCCGCTCTTTTTTTTTTACATATGCTTGTATGAGAATTTTTGAAGGTGAAAAAAGTTTCGAGGTTGTTTAGAATACAGGCTAAGATTGTTGGAAACGGCAAGACTTCTTTGAGAATTCCCTTCACAATTGAATATTAATTTTCTGTTTCAGAACGAAGTTTTTTCGAGTTATTCAAAAAGAAGGGCCGCCTGTTTTGAGCCGACGGTATTTGGATTCTAGGAAAAAGTCTTGTTTGGTGGGAAGAAAATGACATATGAGACAATAAGAGAGAGTTCTTGAGCTACAAAGCAAAAATATATAATATAGAAATTTGAGAGAAAATCTGCTTTATCACAATAAAGAAGGGACTAGGAAATACAATCTGACTAGACTACCGTCACAACTGCTCGAAAATAGAAGGATTTTGATGGACGGGCTCCGGCTCGAGGATTCCCTGTAATATAGTGTTTTGAGAGAGAAATTTTCCGGTTGAAAAATAGAGAATTGTATTTTTTAGAGTACCAGTCTACCTTTTTCTGCTAGAATATATTTTTTTAAATCTTGAGTTTGCGTTTTGCGAACATTTTTTTCACAAAATAAGGAGCCTAATTCGCCTTGGCGAGTCAATAATTCAAAAAATAATGTAGGAATTAATTAATAAAACAATCATTTGAAATTAGATGTAATGTTGATATTTGAAAGGAAATATATCACAAGGTTCTGATCAGGATCTAATCTTTCATGAAAACTCAACACTTGCCCATTTTGGAATTGATCAGAATATTGATTAATCCTTCAAAACGAAAAAATAGACTGACGGACCTCTTCTTCCAGATCGTCGAAGACGGCGGAAACGCTGTCGATTTTGTTGGCCTCCTCCTCGTCCGACTTGAGGTCGTGACCGCGTCGTCGTGCGTTCATGAAGAAGTTGGCCACCTGAAAAATATCTTCTTCGCTTCGTAAATTTTCGGTTTTTTTACAGTGGTTGGATCGAGATTCAATTGCTGGCTGATGGTTTGTTGCATGTCGCGGGAGGGTCGTTTCGTCTCTTTGAAAATGGCCTGAAAATCGGGTTAGAATAAAAAAAAAACAAAGTTATTTTATTACAACTACTGAAAACATTGAGTAGAAGAAAATATGATACAGGTTGAGATCTTTTAAAAATCAAGCAGTACCTGTAAAGTGCGGCGTTGAATGTCAGTGAAGACAAGTCGGGGCTTTTTCGGCGCCGGCGGTTGGTTCGACTGAACTTGCTGCTCTTCTTTCCTTTTGCAAGCTGAAAATCTTTGATTATCACGATTTTCTTCAAGATTATGGTTTATCTTTGACATGGTGGTGACTAAAATTAAAAATGATACAAAAAAAAAAGGAAAAATTACTTATCAACTCTTTGAGCTTTTTTCATTTTCCTTCAGTTGTTGAACCGATTTTCAATAAAAAGAGAACAAAAAAACACCGATATTCGAAAAAAATTATAGCCTTTTTTTCAGAATTTCAACTTCATTGTTATCAAATCGGATTTATAAATAAATATTTTTTTCAAGATTTCTTCGTTAAAACCGAGCAAGCTTCCACTCAATCACTTTTAAAAGATCCAATAAATATTAATTTCGCGCGACCTTTTTATTTAGGTGGTTTGAACACTTATAAATCCAAATCGAAACTCTTTATAGATTTGTTTCTTTAAAACGAAAAATTGAAATTTAATGAAAATATTTCTTTTCAGTCAGCTCCTCCGTTCAAAAGTCCCCCAGAAGATCAGTCCGTACTCGGTGAGTTGGTCCCTCAATTCTCCAAGAGCAGTCTTGTCTCGTATTCCCATCTCCGTTTTTCCCTCTGAATGGCGGCGGTTCTGCCGGAGCTTCTGCCTCGCTTCTCGTGCTCACTCCGCCAGGCGCCGTGCTCTTTCCGCTCCGTTCATCGATTGCCTTTTCGGGGCAGCAGCGCGTGTTTGCGTGTGGCAGCACGTCGTCTGGCTCAGCTCCGCGCAGTTCTTCCGGTGTTGCGTCGTGCGTAAGGCAGCACGTCGACAGTCCATCTGGAGCGGCGACGACGACTTCGAAAGTACTGCCGAGGCAGGCGGCGATCGACGTCGCAAGGCTGTGCGAAGGCCGTGGCTCGGTCGCATCGGTGGCGACCTTCCTCACGCCAGCCTATTGATTAGGCTTCGTTGGAAAATTCTTAGTGTGAATTAGGCAGATCAAAATGGATTTGATGAAACATGTAAGAATGGTCCATGTGAAGATCCGTTCGTAAGAGGTTACGTCCACAGATGTAACCTAACTCCGCTTCAGACCGTAACCAATAACTCCGCTTCGAAGAAAAGAACACAACCAAAATAAACTCACGATAATGAGATACTTGAATAAATTCGAAAGAGGAAAAAAAAAATGTTTAACCAGTAACTTCAGAAGGCCATGTTAAACCTGATGGTCCTCAGAACAGCCATACATGCTTGGATTCACAATCAAAACCTTCCTTTTATCAATTTCCTACCGTCAAAAAAGCTCTTCAAGTATTGTTAGATCGTGCAGGGATGTTTCTCCAACTGCACGGAATTCCGAACTTCGGACTTTCCACACCTTCAGGCTAGGTTGAACATACTTCAACTACCGAATGTATGTCGTAAGTGTTTTCAACGGAACTCTGCCCTAAACTCTTGGACTTGGCTCGAGAAACTGATGGATCGGCCCGACAAAGTTCAGAGACAGTGAGCACTTTCGAGGCGAGTCCCTTGTTTGGAGCGGAAACGTCGGCGGCAGACTCGGAGACCTCTCGCGAGGGGGCCATCTGTCCCTTTTCTGACGTTCATTTCTCATCGAGGGCCGGCTGGGCTGTCTGTCTGCCACGACTCTTCTGTTCACGACGTTATCCATTGATCCGGAGGGCAATTAGCGTCGTCACCATGCTTTTCTTTAATTGCAATTCACTTCTCCGTTTTCTCAAGCTATTGAGAATGTACCAATGAATATTCAGTTCAGAGAAGAAATATTCAAAAATTGAGCAGAAAACAGCTCAGAGTTCCCAGCCGCTCTTTCATGACAAACTTGTTTCCAGGCTTTCTTTTAGGAGAAGATGTGCTCCACTGATACTATCTCAGGGAATCAACCGAAGATAATTTGAACTTAATCTCGTGGAATTTTTTCTGTGAAGCACACTTGAAAGATATAAGAAGCTATAATTTTTCTATACTAAAAAACGAAAATATCCCGAAATCTGAACAATTTTTGATGATTTTTGGCATGATTAGCGAAGGAGGGTGAAAAAAATAAAAGAACAGCGAACAGTTCAAACTTTTTTTCAAACACTTCTTTAATCGGAAAAAAACAAGAAATCTTAACTCAACACTCATGAAGACTCAAAAAAATTCAAACATTGATTTTTATTTTTTTATTTTTTTGAGACAAAAAGCTGAGAGAAAAATTTTTCCTTGTTTCACCTTCATTTTCTAACATTCTGTGAAACTTCCTCAATTTTCCACGGGATTTATTTTGACTTCAATCAGTTTTCATGAGACCTTCTTGAAATAACAACTTCCTTCCAAAATTTTTCAACAATTCACATTTAAACCACCAATAAAAAAAGCTATTGAAACTAGTTGATCAGATAAAAAAAAGTGAAAAACGAAAGAAGAAAAAAGCTGCGAACCTGCTAACCGAAGAGCGGACATGCGCTGGAACTCCGGCTCTTCGAGCCATTTCGCCATTCTTCGGAACGTCTCGCGGCCGCTTTTCAGTTTGGACCAGGGCTTCGGATTTCGCAGAAGGTCTGACAACGTTCCCTGCGATCTGAAACCGACCGAGATAACGCTTATTAGATTTTTCTACAACGCTAGTCATACTTGTGTGAGTACAGAACTCAATTAGTTCAGGAGGAGTAGTTTGTTGGATCAAAGAAATTATGAGAAACGAAGTAAAAAATAAATTTTTACTCCATTGGGGTAGTTTTGAAAAAAAAATACGAAGATGTTGTCAGGAGTTAGTACTGATAAAATTTGATAAAGACGGGAAAAAATTTTAGCGGCCTTTGAAAACGGTCTGAGCAAGTATGATGCTAGCTAGTTTTAAAAATCATTCAAAAAAAAAAATGAGAGTCAGAGCTTGAACTTTAAAGATCTAACAAAAAAAGCTCGTAAAATGAATGAGTTTAAAAATTCTAGAAAATTTCAAAAATATAAAAATAGTGTTGTTACTATAAGAATAAGTATTAGTACTATAATAGTCTCGAACAAAACTAAAAAAAAGCTTCCTAAAATTGAAAAAAGATTATTTCTTTTAATATGAAGTAGTACTGGTTCTGAAGTTGTTCATGAAAATATATTTCAAAAAATGGAGTCATAAATTCAGACCATTAAGCTTCACCTGCGGGGCAAGTCAATAAAAAATTTGAAAAATGAGATCGCTAACACAGAAAAATTGGGGGGCATGAAAGATTCCGTTGTTATTTCTCGTTTTGAGGGTGTTCAAAGATAAATTTTTTTTGTTCAAAAAAAACTTTTTTTTTTCTGACTAATAATGTAGAGGAATGGACATAATTTTCGTACAACTTGCTTACGTTTTTTCGTTGAAAAAGGTTCCCTTTTTTGGGCTTTTCATCAAAATTTTCTGTCTAAATAATTATGCAATCTGATAGAAGAGTTTTTTGAGAAAAAAGTGGAATTTTCGAAGTTGGAACATTCATTCATGAAATAAGATGAAAAATGAGAAACATGTTGCATTAGCACCTAAAAATCGTGGATTTATTCATTCCAAATGCTCCATACTACTTGTTTTTATAAAATAAGATCATAGTATTTTCCCTCAGTCTGATTTTCTTGCTGGATAGTGCCAGATAGCTGAGGAATCTCCCAACAAAAGGCTTATCGCGGCAAGCCGAGGTGGCCGGCAAAACGTCTCGGAATCAGAATGGCAATTAGGCAAGGCGACGGCGGCTTAATCGCATTGTTCCGGCCGCTGATTTCAAACGATTTGCCTGGCTAGCTGCGCTCTCTCACTCTCTCAGAGTTACTTTGAAGTCAGATTTTTTGAAAACAGGAGCACACAAAGGCAGGTCATTTTCGAAAATCGACAAAGCCTTCTCTCAAAGATTTAGTTTGAAAAATACCCTTTTCTCATTTTTTTTTTTTCAAGTACAGAACATTTCAAACCAGTAAACTATGTCACATCGGGTGGAAGAATTTTAAAAATGAGTGAAGACTAAAAATATTCTTTGCGATGCTGATTAATTTCTGTTAAAACTATCCGGAAGATTCCAATGTCAACTTTCTTCTCCTATTCAAAAACCAAACGAACCGACAAAGAACACGTTGCGCAAAAATGGCCTGAGGAATCGAGTATCGCTTGAGTTCGGCCGAGATCCGTACTGCCAGGTCCTTCAAAATCGGGAGTTTTTGGGGTCCTCGTCAAAAAAGGAAACCTTCGTGTTGAGCTCTTCGCCGTCGTCGTCGCAGTCGCCGTCGAGAGATCCGCTCATCATTGACGGCGATTCTTTCTTCACAGACTGCAAATCGATCAATAATGGATACCCATTTGGAAGATAGATAAATGAAAATGATGCCGAGATCTCGACATTATTTTCATCATTTTCATTTATCTATCATAAAACTCTAAATCACTTTTTTTGGCAAAAGTATTCGATAGACAGACCGAGAAAAACAGAAAATGCGATAATTTTTAAAATGGCGAAAAAACACATTTCTCACGCTTTGCCGAACAAAAATGAAGTGTATCGATCGAACGAATTTCAAAAGTAACTTCTCCGATTCAAAACATCAAAATTCGATTCACAACAACCAGCTGTGGTTTTTAACGAGAGACTGATAACTTACCATAAAATATCGAGTTTCCAAAGTCATTAAATTCATGTGAAAATCCTGCACGTTTGAAAACTTCCGTGAAAATACTGACTCGCGTTTAAAAAAAAATACCGAGGCCTAATTTGCGCTTCAACTGAATGAAATAAAGTATGATAACTATTGGAAAATGAATTCTTCATTAGAAATTTCCCCGGAAAATCCCTGAAACAGCGCTAATTTGATTATCATGCAACAAAATTTCCGTGGAAACCTCTTTCTTTCCTAGCTTCAATAATTTCAACAACAAAATAAGCTCCAAAAATCGTTTTCTTTCTGAAATTACTTTCAAAAAAGAAGAATCAAATATATTTTTATTGTGAGCCTAATTGGGTTTAACTTCGATTTCATGACTTAAAATGTTTTTTGGTGGTTTGATGGTTTTAGATCATGGGCCAATTGATCAAAACCAAAAATTATGACTTTTTACTTTGAATGCAAAAGCAAAAACTTAAAAATTGAATAAAAGTAATATCTTTTGCATCGGCACCTCTTCAGAATCGTCGCATTCCTCGTTGGTGTAGGCGAAGCCGAAGCAGTCCTTGTCGAGTTTTGGAGATCTGCCAAGAGGTAAGAAAGTCAGGGAGAAACGGGAAATCACACATACCCATTGTAAGACGAGACGTAGCTGGGGGCCGAGAAAGGCAAGTCCTGGGCGCCGGAAGAGCCGTAGTCCGAAGGCGTCGAGGAGGCCGGAGCTGAACCTTAAGTTGGCGCTAAGCCTGACGCAATAGGGCATTAGCTAAGATTAGAGACAAAATCAAAGGAATGGAAATAGTTTCAGATATGGCATCGATCCAAAAAATGAAACAAAGTTGAAAAAATAAGAAGAGAGAAGGACATTTATCCGTGTTGTAGTCTCCGCCTTTTTGGATTTGCCCGAGTTTTTACTCATCGTCAAAATTTGGAATAAAACGGTTCCGTATTTTTGACAAACGTGCGTTTTTTTTTCAAGATCCGCTCTGATGTAATTTTTAAAATTTTTGTTAGAGAGCCAAAAAATTCTGAAAGTCTATCGATTTTTCTAGCATGTGAGACTTCTGATTAACTCCTTCATTACTTTTTTTGAGTTGGAACATGGTTTTGATTCAAAATTGAACTATTATTTAATTTTTTGAAAACTTATTCGGAGATTAGAATATTCATCAAAATTAAGGACTTTGTCTCAAATCTTTGCGAATTTCCGAAATAAGAAGCGAACCGAGGCCGGCGTCGTCTTCGTCTTCTTCTTGCTTGCTGTCGTACTCGTACTTGATGTTGACATTGTAGTTGTACGACGACTGATTCGTGGGCGTGTAGAAGTAGTTGCTCAAATAACATAATTAGCCAGGAATCTTCTTTTCAGAGGAAATACTTGATGCTCGTGGATCGATCCCGTTGTGGGGAAGGTGTCGAACGCGTGTAACGGTCCTCTTTGGAAGTTACCGTCGAAATGGGAGGCAGTGGTTGGAGTGTTGTTAGCGTCGCGTAGTTCCTGGAAATCATGACAAAAATAGACCAAAAATCCATTGAGTAGCTTCAGAAAACAGATTCCTTCCGACTATCTTTAAAATAAATCAACGTTTTATAGCTTCTCTTAATGATTTATTGCGTGTTTGAAAATAGATCGCATCGTAATCTTTTTGAACTTTTTCTGTCCTTCATCAAACACACAATTAAAATTAATTTAAAAACAACAATTTTTGTTCGGAAGTCCCTAACTTTGGATCTTTCAAAGGTTAGTTAAGGTACTTTGACTCATCCTCTTCAATAATATCAATTTTCCCGGATTTGACAGCCGCAAACACTTTTACAGGCACCAGGAAAAAGAATTAAGGGGACAGCTGTCCCTAGATGGTACGCACTTCGCCCGCACCATCTGCTCACGATAATACCACCCCATGAGAAAAGTAATACTCTCACCGGTTGCAGGTAACACACATAAATAAAGATAAACATTATAGGAATAGCGACCAGGATTCTCGATGAAAAAATAATTTTGAATTTCTGACTTTTTTTAATACTAAGATTGTGAAAAGTCGTGAAAAATGATAAAGAAAAGTCAATAAAAATATGATGATGTGATCCTCTTATGAAAAGATGAAAAAATGCAAAAAAACTTTTAAAAAAATTGTTTTTATTTGAGAAAAATTCGGAAAAACGCATACAGAGTGTTCACGTACTAACAGCTATCTACCGTACACCCAAAAAAAATTTTGGAAGTTTGTAACTTTCTGAACTAAAATTATAAAATGAAACATTTGAAAATTGGATTAGGGTTTTACAATATCGAAAAATGAGGAAATCCAGAAAGAATTCTTTATTTTATTTTCAAATTTAGTTCTCTTCGGTTTGTGTTTTGAAATCGCGCGGACTAAAACGAAAAATTCAGTTTTATTATGTACCAATCATTCGAATTTTTAGACGCACCCATAAATGGTAGCAGCATGATGAGGATGGTCGTCGTCAGCTCCAAAGTCGAGGAAAGAGTGGTCGTCGTGCTGGCTGCTGTCGGACGAGACACGGGTTCCGCGCAGCCGACCTGACGTCCTCGAGCCAGAGCCGTCGACGACGATTCTTGACGGCGCTGGAGGCGAGGTGAGTGCCGCCGAAAGGAGCGGATCCGACGTCAGACCCGTTTCTAGGCCTTCCATCCTCCCTGAATCCAGACCAGCTAAGATGGATTTATCATTGAGAGAGGAAATTAAACATCAAGCAACTCGGATAAGCTTCTCAAATAAACTTTTCAATGGATTTATTTCGTCATTCATGATCTTTCTCCTTTTTAAGCCTCTGGAAGCTGTTTAAAAAATTCTTTGATAAATCCCCAAAGCTTCGTCAAGATATTTTTATTATTGATCAGGAGAAAAGATATAAATCGCGGTTCGGAAAAGAAAAAATAGTTCTTTTTTTCGGGGAACATTGAATAACAGGGAACGGGAAAAACAAAGCAAATAGTTTCAATATTGGTGACTAATCCTTATCGAGAATATAAGCTGGAAAAAATCTTGTGATTTGAAAGTTTCGCAATATTTTTTTTCTATGTATCACATTGATAAAGTTTCGGATCAGTTTTTGAAAGAAAAACAATGATGGAAAGAAAATCAACAAAAAAAAAAAAATGGTATCTTTTGTAAATAATATTTTTCTCATGTACAGTGATTTCTGATCCTTTTTTTGCAAAGGAGCATGAATCAGAATTTTTTCCAGTTGCAAAACTTTTTTTGATTTAGGGCTGGATGTTTTGTCCAAAGATACTGGGAAAAATAACTTCTGAGCTTCTCCTTTTCAGAAATTATTCCGTTAATTTTGTCAAAAGTGTGATTATTTATTGTCTCAACCCAGTGAATAAGCTTCATCTTCGAGTGAAATTGACGATAATTAACGAAGAATGTTTTGAATCCTAATAGGCTCACGGATCAAAAGTCACACAACTCTGCTCTATTTCACCAACTCTCTTGAGGAGGATAATTATAGAGAGCAGACAAATTAGGTTTGATAAAAAAGAAAGAAGAAAAAAAGAAGAGGTGTGTGAGAAAAAGAAGCAGAGAAAAAGGTGAAGACAGGTACCACCAAAAATGGTGGGAAAAGCCGCAGTTGGAGAAAGACGACGAGAGAATTGGCTCAAAGGAAAGGGAGGGGCGGAGCTGGTGCTCAAGCCGGCTGGAGCTCTCCTTCTCGCTTCTCTTCTCCTCTTTCGGCGGGCCGAGCGACGCCTTCTGCGCGGCTGACATGCCCGGGGACGGCGGTCAGCCGTGTTATACAAGTAGCGTCCGAAATAATGAGACGTGTTAGTCTGCGTCGGCGGCTGTTTACTCGGTCCATGGCGACGGGACGACTTGGGGACTTATTTACTCAACTTATTGAAACTCTCTTTTTACAGTTGGATCAGAACCATTTTGAATCAGCTCTAAGCTCACCAGGGAATGGTCTCAGCTCTCAGTGGGACTTCTGAATGACACCACGTTTTCTAGATGTATTTTTTTATGCTGATTCCAAATCCGGTCTCAAAAGCTGCCATATACGTCCGTGAAAAAAGTTATGGACCCTCAAAAGGCGAAAATTTCATAGTCTCCGATCGAGTTCATTTTTTTTGAAGGGTATATAGATCCTGTCCCTGTGGTCACGAAAAACAATTTGTTTTTTCAAAAAATATTTGTGAGCTTAGATATGATCTGGTCAGAGTAAAGCTTTTGAAAGACTTTTGTTAGATTGAAATCAGAATTTTTTTTCAATGACTTCTTTTCTGAAATCTAATGGGGAACACGGATGCAGCTGAACGTCGAAACGCTCAAAACTCGTCCGCTACAACAAAAAAAAAGGCCAAATGATCTATTCGCCGTTCTTGATCAACGACAGACTTCGGATCGATGAAAAATTCTTCAATTTTCCCATGGTTCAGCAGAGAATCCTCTCTAAAAAAATTGTACAGACGCCTTATGAAACCGACATCAAGAAATATATTGAACTAAAATCTTACAAGAACCTCAGCCAAGACCGAAGCTTTCCTTTTTTGGAGTACGGCCAAGCCATACTCAGTTCTCCTCTTTTATGCGTTGCCATAGTTTGCCAGGAAAAAAAAGGCGTTCCGAAGATAATCAAATAATGTACTCGTTTCCGGCTTGTGTACACAGAGCGACCATTATTATTAACTCAATCTTCTTAATTGGGAGTTCTTTTCTTCTCACCCAAGCCATCAAAAAAACGAAAAAATTAGCGATCACAAACTACAATGGCCTAAATATTTGCACATGTCTTGGCCAAGTTCGCAAGAGTATCTGGAAAGAAAAATGATAAGGAACGAGATAAGGAAGAAGCATTTGTGATTGGCGATTGCTCCGCTGAAACCACGTGTTCCATGAAGTTCGGCTTATACTTTCTACCACTGCTTTTGGTTTTTGCTACTTATGGTTTTTTTAATTTTGTCTTATATAATAAACAGTTTTTTAAACCTTGGTGAGAAATATGAAGACTTCTAGTTTCTTGTATCATCTTTAAAGAAAGGAAATTCCAACAAAAGCTTGCCATTTTCTGAAAAGTAAATACTTGGTGAAGGCCTAGTAAGAAATCTCATAAAAAAGCTCTTACTTTTCTGAGAATAAATAGGCCGAAAACTGTTCGAGAAACTATAACTTCGATCCGAAAAGTTAGAACTTCTGCCATTTCACATCATCCAGTGGATCAAATTTGGCCTAATATCATATAAATCAAAGTTCCGAGTAGGATAACCTATCTAAATCTCTTTATTTTTTGTTAAAAGGGTATTTAGACCGCGCGGAAGCCCTAACGGAGTGTGAGCAATGTGTTGCCGCAGTCGATCTTCTTCAGGTGGCCTGGGGAGAAAAAACAACGGAAGCCTGTGTTGGTGGGATCAGAAACATGATGATTCGATTCCAATTTATTAGTTCAGTCGACTTGGCCATTTTCATTTGCGAAACCTTTCACATAGTGGACAATTTCATCTGCAACGTCATCATCAACGATTTTAAGTTGAGTTGAGCAAAATTTTTGGTTTAAAAGTAACAAAGCTTTGCGATTGAAGCTCAGATTTTAACTCTGGAAAAAAAATTCAGCTTATATTTTTTTTAGGATGAGTTCATGTGGGTCGTCGAGCGAGTGATCATAACTCCTCATGAAATGTGCGGCCTTCTCATGAACGACAGTGAGATTTTTATCAGCTCCACCCTTTAATGTCGCTAGTGAAAGAAAAAATAAGATTGTTTCCTTTTTCAAGTTTCGTTTTTCCCTGAGGTGAGCTCAAATAATCTAACTGCATTTTCTGGGCTCGAAATGAAGGACTTTCTACTGGAATTTTTCTTGAGTCTCGATTTTCCAATTCTCAAAGCTCACTATTTCGAACGTTTGAGATCCTGAAAATCAGAATGTTGTGATTCCAGGATCTCAAACGTAGAAAAAAAAATACCCCCAAAAGTTGAAAACTTCGAAGAGAAGATTTTTTTTTGAATTGTGACAAAAAGCGATAAAATGTATTCCATGTACTTTGAAGACTGTGGCAACTTCACGAATCCGCTTCTGAGCAAATGGGACATTCCGATTCCTGGAGGACAGCCGCCGTTCTATCGTCCAGAAGTCCCACAGGGCAAACCGACATTGAGAGCTCTGCACTTGACGGATCTGCACGTCGACATGTTCTACACGCCAGGACTCGAGGCCCAGTGCGACACTCCGCTTTGCTGTCGCCCGCAGGACATAAACAGTGTTCGCCTTTTTTGGTTCCCCAAGAAATTCGAGCTCATTTTTTTTCCTCTTTCGAAATTCTTTGGATGTTGACCAGACTTCTTAGTGATGTACCAGTCGAAGATCCTGTGAGAAAGGACATCTTCAAAGAATTACAGTTTTCGTTCGTGCCGCCAATTGTTAAAAGTCTTTAGAAATCAGGGTTCCGAAAATTTCACACTATTAAAATCTCAAATTTTTTTTAATTTTTCGTTTTACGGGCAAAGTTCACGAAGATAAAAAAAGCAACTTTTTGGTGACCATCTGGGTTTTGAGTTCAGGATCTAAAGGATGGAGAGTTATCCAAATCAAATTTTACATCTTTTCTAGTTTCGACAGGCTCAAATAATCTAAATACTTCTCTGGGTTCAAAAAAAGGTCTTTCTACTTTAAAACTTTCCTTCAAGCCGCTATTTCTCAAAAAAAGTTGGGCAGTTTGACGTTTTCAAGATCTTAATCTGTTACATCCAGGAGTATTCTGAATGAAATTCAGGATTTTTTCATTTGCAAAGAAAACTGACCTTCCTTGCGATCTATTCTCGGAAAAATACTGAAAAAGGAAAAAAGAATTTCAGGAAATCGCCCTGGGAGCCGTCAAAGAACCAGCTCAGTACTGGGGAACTGTCGGCAACTGCGACGCTCCTTACTATTTGCTCACCAACATGCTCCAGCACATCGCTTCCAGCAACGAAATCGTTGACTGAAAGGTCTTTCTGGAGATAATTGAGAATGGTTCAGATCGACTACGTCATGGTCTCCGGAGACGTCGTCTCTCACGCCGTCTGGGCCTACACCAACGACGCTCACGCAGCCATGGTCCGCAACATTTCTGACACGATTCGGAGGTCTTTCGAAGAAATTTATTATTTCAAAATCTTGGACCTTTTCAGTTACTTTCCCACGACTCCAGTGTACTTTGCTGTAGGGAATCATGAAGGAGTGCCCATCGACAAGTGAGGGACTTTTTTTTTTTAAAAATATGCCATGAATGAAGCAGTAAATAGTGTTTGGAATGGTTCGACGCGTAATGTTAGAGATGATTTTTTCAAAGCTCGTCAGACTTGAAATGACTTGCCTCTTGAGCCATGATGAAGCATTCGAGAAAGCTTAAGCTCAGATGCGATTATTTGATCCATTCCACGTGCAACCACTTGCCTTCGAGCTAGATTGATAGGGTTACCCTAAAAATGACTACGAACAAAAAATTAATACCATAGTGTTCGTTAAGAATGAGCGGAAACGAAAATTGTAAAACTTGTACCCAGATTCCAAGGACCAGCAAGAAAATTTTTTTTCTAAACTTTTTTTTTGATTTGTTTCAATTTTTTTTTGGATTTCGTTTTTGATAAAATTTTTCATTCATCATTTTTTTTTTAATGATTAAGTTTCGCCCCGCACTTCACTCCGAAAAAATTCCACATGGACTGGCTCTACGGAACGATGGCGACGTCGTGGAAAGGATGGGTGCCGGCCGATCAGATCAAGACCCTCGAATAGTTTCTTTCAGAATTTTTCAGATCAAATTCTTTTCTTGCAGTAATGGTTGTTATACGGTGAATGTAGCCCCGGGGTTGCGTGTAATTTCGATCAACAATGCCTACGGCGACACCAATAATTTGTTAGTTTTTTTTATTTTAATGTAACAAAAAGATCTTTTTTTTTAAAATTTAGTTGGCTGTACGTTAATCAAACAGATCCTGATGGAACTTTACAATGGCTTATCGGACAGCTTCTGGATGCTGAACAGAAAGGAGATAAGGTGGATTATTGAGAAGGGTTTTTCGAAGATCTTATGATCTGAACACCAGATTGGTCCCTATAGGGGAACTTTCAAGGGTTCCTAAGGTTGACCCTATAAGGACCACTCTGGAGTTCCAGAGATACTTTCTTTTGTGGGAAGAAACCTTTAAAAATTTAGCTCAGAGACAAAAATTCAAAAAAAAAAGTTAGAATGTTTTTCTTTGAAATTCAGGTTTTTTCTCTCGCTCTCCGTCTAATATCTAAAAATCTTATAGGCTTCCTGATTTCAGGTTCACATTGTCGCTCACATCCCCGGTTCCAATGGAGAAGCTCTGGAAGGCTTCGCCATAAACTACTACAAAATCATGAATAGGTTAACTTTTCAGTTTTTCAAAATTAATTCAAGAATTCAGATTTGCAAACACGGTAGTAGCGCAGTTCTTCGGACACACTCACTCGGAAAGCTTCTACATGATTTACGCTGACCCGGAGGATTTCAAATCGACTCCGACGGGGTTCCGCAAATTCAACCAAAAAGATAGAATATTCAAGCTTCAGAGTAGTGTATTCGGCGCCTTCCCTGACAACTTACTCTGACTTTTTCCCCGCCTATCGCATCTTCACCATCGACGGAGTTTATGAAGGATCGACCTATGTTTGAGTTTCCCTTTTTGCGGGCCTACAACTGTAAAATTCAGCAAGTGATCGATTATGAAGAATGGTACTTCAACCTGACCGAGAACAACGCGAATCCTTCAAATCCTACTTGGAAGCATCTCTATCAAAGCGCCAACGCCGAATATGGTAACCAGTTAGGACTAAAACATTTTTACTCCGAATTTCAAGGCCTCAAGTCGCAGTCTCCCGCTGAATACAACAATATGATCGAGAGGATGAAAACTGACGACGTCCTCTTCCAGAAATTCTACGAGTAGGCTCCAAGTTATGAATCAAAGATAATATTTGGGCGATCAGACACCACTACCGCCGCACCAAGTACGACGGTCTGAGTGAATGTACTGGAAACTGTAAACTGGGATATCTTTGCTCACCAAGACAGTTCCATCACGAGGACAAACTCTGTTCCGATTTGCAAGGTACCAGAAATATGATTAAAAAAATAACCGAGACAGTTTAGGCTTCGAAAGAGTGTCAATGTCGCCGCGGAAGAAGAGTATCTACAAAAATACGGATGGGAAGCGTCGCAGGAACAGCGACGAGTGTCCAATTTGAAAATTTGGAGCAATCAATTCGAACAATGTACAAATAAATTTCTAAACTTTTTTGTTTTTTTTTCAATCGACAAAAGAAATATTGGGGAGAATTTTTTTTTTCAAGGAAAAAAAACAAGAATCATTCATTCGCATAGTTTCGACAAACACGTGTATGAATTGAAGGTGGGACACTTCTTTAAATATCCTACAAAGCTTATCAAAAGAATTACCAAAGAAATTATCAAAGAAAAATGTATTTTTTTGAAAAATTAGCAGCTGTGAAAAATATGAATGCGCGCTCTGCTGATAGGTTC